GGTATGAACGAATTTTTTTAAGCTATTGCATAGCTTCTATCGCGGGCCTTGAGCGCGGGGACCGAATCCAGAAATTCCGTAACGAAAAAAAACCTCACGCTCCCCACTCCGACGGGCACGGAGGTGTGGCGTTGAAAGCCGTGCATCGTCTAACGTCGTTTCAGTTCGGCAGACTTCGGCACTCGGCAGACTTCGGCACGGTGTTTGTGTGCGTGCGACTAGACGTATGCGTGTACACTAGCTGCTAACTCAATGATAAAAATTCCTGAATAACCTACATGTATTGTAGATATTAAAAATATTTTAAACAATATTAACTTCTCATTTATTCAATAAGAGAAAAAAAATTGTTTTCTTATTGGTCACCACGCTCAAAAAGTGTAACTTGATTTAATATCAAAGACTTAACTGCATAAATAAAATAAATAAATAATTATAATTGCATAAGTTGATAAAAAATGCTATGCAATAGCTTTACCGCGGCAGTCACCGAGTGCCACACGTATTTTTTTTTTATTTAATTTAGAATCATGTGTTACGAAACAATCAATTACGCAACACGAATCGAGATATTAAATGATTAAAAATCATTCAAGAATATTATTTATTATATGTTCTAACAGGATTCCACCGCTTTCGAAGGAAAGAGATAATATAATGTTAGAGTAGTAAAGATATATGTTAAGGAAAACAAGGATAGCCATTGCTAGAGCGAGAGAATAAGAACCTCTTATCACTTGACGTCATATCCTGTAGATAATTTTGCTTAAAATTTTGTTCAAAAGATGCGATTTAGGCTTTATTTTCTGTATTAGCTGTCTAATTGTTTAAGATAAATGTTAATTATTATAAGACCTGTGTAAATTGAACAATATTGGTTACTATAAATTATAATAAAGTTAAATAATATTTAAGATTATAAAGTTAAGTAATATTTAAGATTTTAAGGTGTACAACATGTATGATAAGATGTAAATTATTTTTTAACTATTCTAAGCCAGCACTTAGCTAGTAGCTTAAGATGGTGAAGCGCACTGACTTAACAAAAACCTATTCACTCTTGCCTTAAAGATACCCTCATTGTAATCGGATGGATAGACAGATGCTGGCAACTTATTCCACTCATTTGCTAGACCTAGCAAACAGTTTGGTTCGAATGCGTGGTAAGTCAACAATGAAAGGGTGGAGACTAACCGAATGTCTGGTTGTACGATGGTGGAAGGGAGAGGGAGGAATTAAATTATGCAATTCCTGTGCACACTCTTCGAAATGTATCCTGTAGAAGACCGAAAGGCTGGCTACTTTGAAATACGTAATAATGCTTTGTATTTTATTAATGGCGTGTAAAATGTATGTGTTTTATTGTTTTTATTATGTAATCTTGTGTGTTATTCTTGGGAAAACATAATTTTTGTATGTACCTTTATAAAAAATAAAGTTATTTTACCAAATAGAGAAATGTGATATTGAAAAATGCACGCGAAATAGGAGGCATTTTGCACACAGCCCACTTTACGGTATAGCCAGAAAAGTATACCCCTATGGCGAATTGTTCGCAATATAGCGCGGGCGACGCTCTTGCCGGTCCTGGCATCCAAGCTGCCGATTAGAACCTAGCCGATTAGGATCATCATCACCTACGCTGTTCTGGCCTGGTACGCACTTCTGAGCGACTCTCTGAGGCGGCGACTGCAGCCCCAGCAGAATCTGACATTAAGGACGATCGTCGGAGCAGGTGGCTACGTCCGGAATGACGTCATAGCGGCCGATCTAAAGGTCGAGAACATCACCGACTTCGTGGCCTGGATGGCGCGCGACATGTTCGACCGCGCTGACAACGGGCCACACGAACACCTCAACGGCTTTGCGCCGTTGCACGCTCGGCCCCCGGACGGGCGACCTCTTCCAAGAGACCTCCTCTCTATATTGATTAGAGAGTCGAGTAACAACCTTCAATGCCGCTGAAAGGCCAACCCAGACTTCACCAGACAACCTCTTTTTTTCCCGTAGTCGGACAACTACGGAAATAATATTTTTCCAACTACGGAAAAGTCCGTCTAATTTTACTTAGCCTAGAATAGGCTACAATGACTGTCCCATAGTTATGGGACATGAGGATTATCCGGGCAATGGGGTATACCCCGAGGCCCGATACCTGCATTGCACCTAGGTGCATGTAGACGACAATCAACGCTCGCAATATCTATGATATCCCCACACTCCAAGACCAGCTGGAGGAGTGGGAAGAGGACGTCGTCCTTGCATTATATGCAGACGACAGTGCATACTTCACGTCATCTCGACGGGTAGAAAACGCTGAAAAGAAGTTGCAGCGACTGCTGGACCTGCTACCAGAGTGGCTTGACAATTGGAGGATGGCGGTCAACTTCGGGAAGACCACCGCCTTCATGACCAGGCTGAGAAGGACGCCACTAACACTGCAGCTCCGTGGGCAGGACGTAGGTTGGAGGACGACCATCACCTAACTCGGATGCCAGATCGATCGCTCGCTGCGAATGAACCCGCAGGTCGACACGTTGTGAGGCAGGCCAGAGCCGCGCGAGCGAAGTTGTATCCCATACTGGCATCCAAACTCCAGATAAACACCAAGATAAGTATCTACAAGACTTACGTCTGCTTGCGGCTGACATACGCAGCACCAGCCTGGTATGCGTTGACCTCAGCCACTCAGCGCAAGAAGATGCAGGCCCAGCAGAATCTTGAACTACGAGTGATCGTGGAAGCCGGTCGTTACGTCATAAATGACGTCATAGCGAGTGACCCAAAAATGGAATCAATCCACGAATTTGTGGCGCGTACTGCGAGACGGTTGTACGACCGCGCAGATAACGGACCACACAAAATAGCGTCACTACACGCGCGCCCGAGTGGTCGCGCATGACGGGCGACCACTCCGATGTCAATTTCAGCGCTCACCGTTCGGCGAGGGGGACGCCGAGGACGAGTGAGAGTCCCGACACCGGAATAGATGGCGTGTTTAGGTGTTACTGATAACCCCCTGTGCAGGGCATGCATGGGAGAGGAAGAAACGGCGGCTCACGTGTTGCTGACATGTCCAGAAGTCGCGTCATACAGGGCTAAACAGCTCGGCACGCCGGGATCACTCTCCGAAGTTGCTTGCAACATTGCTGGCTTCTTCGGGGAGATATCATGGCTCGAATTACCATATTATTCCTGCCCACACGCAAAATACGCGCTTAGACGTGGAGTTGCGGAAAACAGCCCGTCGTAAACTAAACTAAACTAACTAGATGGCGTGAAGTACGCAAAATATCTACATATAAGCTGCGATCAAGCATAGCATTCAAGACCGGGGGAGCCGTGACCCCCTCCCTCACCCCCACCCCGCGGGATGTAACCCGGGTAATGAGGGTAAACTCGACGCCCGCAGGACTTCAAAACCCAAGAAAGGGTCAAGAAGAGGAACATCGGGAAGGGGACGTAAAGGATAACAAAACACTACTCGCAATTTCTAGACCAATGTCTAGACCGGGACCAAACGTAGGAATCGTAATCTAAGGCATCAACCACCTTTTTAAGATCAGGCGTGTGTGTTTCTGAAATAGACAGCACCGAAGGATACGTCCATTGCGTTGTTTCTCCATAGTGTGGCTTAGGCAAGGGCATAGATCGACGAGTTAAGAACTGGAAGACTTGCCGGATTACTATTTTTAGATTACTACAGTGACAAACAGATCGTGTTTAATGGTCCTTCGGAGTGAAGGGTCATCGATTCAGAAACGCCCAAGATCCTGTTTAATGAGAGTTTGCGTAATCTGTAAAACTCAAGTGGTATAACATTCCACAAGAGAATTTTCAGCTAATATTAATCAAATTAAAAATATTGGATAATATATGTACTTAAAAATTTGAAACTAATCTTAATATCATACAACATTTTAGAGAAATTACTAATCGCCACGTCACAATCATTAATCGCCACGCGCCGATATCACGGAAATTACTTGCTAAGGCCTTAGCAGACGCGACATATTTGCAAAATGGCCGGCCGCCAGACGAGGGGATATAAAAAAAATATTTGATATTAAAAATTAAAACTAGTATACCAACAGGCATTATTTTCAAAGAGGATTATCCGAAACAAGTGCAAGGAGAAACGGAAGCAGTTACAGCCACAATCAGATGGGAAAGAAAAGAAGAAAACATGGCCCATCTGAAATACGACAAATTAATAATAAATAAACCTAAAGATAAAGTCCATGACAATAGAAAAAGAGAAGGCAGTGCGGATAGGTCTCCATATTGCCCCGGTATTCCTTACGCCTTAAATTCTAGTTATTCTACGAAATTCTATAAGTAGTAATTTTTGATAACCCACTGTCTTACTTTCAACAAAAATAATATGTGGATAATTAATTAGTAAATCGAATTGTTGAAAAAACTAATAAGTCTTCTATGGTGTACATAGCTTAAATATCTGAGGTACTGGGGAAAATGATGGCGAGACACTATGATTCCAGATCTTAAGGCATGGAATCGTTTTACTCAAATATTATAATTTATGAGGTTTTAGTTCAATTTGAAAGTCAATTATTTTACACTATTTGATAATAAGATTAATATGATTTTGATTCGTCTTTTCTTTGTAATTGATAATAAAAGTATGTTCTCTAATATCTTTCATTTAACTAATTTCATGGCTATCGGCGTAGTGATATTTAAAGCACAGTTTAAAAATACCAACTATTGCTAGTACTGCCCGATGTCCTATAAAAAACATATTAAAACTACGTTTAGGTAGTTCAAACGCCATCTATATCTGTACCACATCAATGCAAAAGTTACGGCTGTAGAAAACGTGAAACCTGTTATTTTTTCCATCTTCATCTCTGGGCGGTAAGCATTTTATACATTGTCCTTTTATGAGAACATGGGGTGGTAATTATCAAAACAAATTTTTGCCTTGAGCCTTAGCAGGCTATAGATACAATTTTTTATTATAGATGCAGGGAACGTACCAAACTCTGAATGTGCGCTTTCGACGGCGATGCGGCCGTACACCCAAGGTGCGAAGTGCACCAGCCGGATGCTGTAGAAACCGTGCGGCGGACTGAGATAGCACGAGATGTCGTACAGCGCGCTCGTACAGTTGTCTGTCACGTCGAAACATACCTGCAACCAACATTCACGCTTACAATTTTTGTGGATAATAACGGCAGAATTCTATCGTGGTAGACCCACGCTGCAGGTATATTATGATTGTAGCACGAATGGGACGGCTCAACCGTGGAAGGACCACGCTCTCACAGTATACCAGCGTGAAATAGCAGCTCAATGCTGCTGTTTGTGTAATACATCTGCATTTTGATTCTTAAGCGAGGATAGATGTATGTAAATGTCTATGGACTACAGCATTGACTTACGAAAAGTGAAATTTATATAGATTCCAAGTGAAACATAGAAGTTTAATATATTGTTATCAACATAGAAAAATCATAGGGATGCCCCACTGATCGTCCCAGCTACAGCTAGTTTTAGCGAAATTTCAAGACAGGGTAATACATACTACATTTTTCCGGACCATACAATGAGTTTAAACAAATACCTTATAGAGCAAGATCCCAGGGCCACCAGACGTCACGTATTTTCTGACGGATGAAATGTGGACGATTGAGTAATGTTAGTATGTACTACGATCGTATGTCTAAAGATAAAACTATGCTTATATTTAAACGGTACTAAACAAATATTTACCCGTATATATAGTTTATTGAAACAGAATTAGATATAAATATGATAATAATATAGTGGCAACAGTGCTTATGTTTTGTAATAGTCCAAGATCCCAGATCCGCCAGACGTCACGTATTTTCTGACGGATGAAATGTTAACGATTGAGTAGTGTTATTATGTGCTACGATCGTATGCCTACCTGCTAGCTTGGTCAAACGGCCAATTTTCAGGTATCAGGCGATCAAGGTACATAAAAACATTACTTACTTCACGTAAATTCTCATGGCTGATTTTCATACCTATATGTTTTAGAATGTACAGTTAAAAATAAGTTGTCAATACTCTCAGACACTTTCCGTCGGCCATATTGCTTTGCAGACGCTTTAAAGCTCTCAAAATAATTAGTTAACTTCACGTAAATTCCGATGCTCCATTTTTATATATGTTCACCCGACAACTATTTTAAAACCTTTGGTAAGAAGACAGACCGATCCAAGGGACCAATCATCCCCTAAACTAAATTTTTATATCTCTGTGAGATCAACTGCGCTGCTATGCGTATCTTGAAATTTTCAACTATAACGCCCGGTAGTTAAACATGAAACGCCCTATAACTCAAAAAGTATGGACATTAGAAAAAAAAGTTTCAAAGTGGAATGTAGGGTAAGCTTATTGTTAGTATAAGGAAGGTAGTTTGTGATCTCTCTCTCTCGCAATAATTGGTTAACACTTCACTCACTTTCAAAATAAATTTATGCATTTTATTGATTAATCTAATATTTCAAGAGTTATTGGCCGCGATAGAAAAACCGGATCATTAAATGGGCCATAAATCGTAAACAGTAAGTTTTACAAAAAAGTTTACTTGAAACAAAAGATGCCAAATTTTATTTTCTACAATAATAGTTTGTATAACTTTTGCCTTAAGGTGCATAGTTTCCGAGATATCGGCTGAAAACGTTTCTTCAAGATGGCGTTCATTAAATGGACCATAAATCGTAAACGGTAAATTTCACAAAAAAGTTTACTGAAAACAAAAGATGCAATATTTTATTTTCTACAATAATGGTTTATATAACTTTTGCCTTAAATTGCATAGTTTTCGACATATCGACTGAAAACATTTTTTCAAGATAAATGGACCATAAATCGTAAACGGTAAGTTTTACAAAAAGTTTACTGAAAAAAAAGATGCAAAATTTTATTTTCTACAATAATAGTTTGTATAACTTTTGCCTTAAAGTGCATAGTTTCTGAGATATCGGCTGAAAACGTTTCTTCAAGATAGCGCTTGAAGTGCCACCTGTTCATTAAATGGGCCATAAATCGTAAACGGTAAATTTCACAGAAAAGTGTACTGAAAACAAAAGATGCGAAATTTTATTTTCTACAATAATATTTTGTATAATTTTTGCCTTAAAGTGCATAGTTTCCGAGATATCGGCTGAAAACGTTTCTTCATGATGGCACTTGAAGCGCCACCTGTTCATTAAATGGGCCATAAATCGTAAACGGTAAGTTTCACAAACAAGTTTACTAGAAACAAAAGATGCGAATTTTTTTTTTTCCAATAATGGTTTCAATAACTTTTTCCTGAAAGTGCATAGTTACCGAGATATCGGCTGAAAACGTTTTTTCAAGATTACGCTTGTAGCGCCACCTGGATCTGTCAGCATTTTGTGATTTTATGCTAAATAAGTGATCCTAAATCTCATAAAAAAAAATTGAATCGCAAATTTCGTGCAAAGTTAAATTCTATGTTTACTGTACCATTTCATCAAACATTTTATTTGTCAACAACGTCTTACAATCGTCGTTTCTCTAGCGCTCACGTGACGTTCATGCAAATAATTCTATATTTTAATTGTTGATAAAGTTTATTTTTGGATAAGAACACGGTAATGACTGTAAGTTATATTTATCTTCATTTAAAAAAAATTGTCTTTGGCTTGACCATAGGTCTGACCATGAAGAATAGAGAACAGGAGAACGATCGCTACGTACTAAAGCATAGCCCGCCTGTCCTTGAAAATTGTAGAATGTATAGCGGCGCTGACGTCGGTGAGTAGTAACTGCGAAGTTAGCTGCATTTTCATTTCATTTTTAATGAGAAAATTTTCATGCTCCGTAATTTTGTAATTTTTGACAAAAAGAAACATTAAAAAATGGAGAAATATTTTATTGTGCGTGGATGTGCAAGTGGTTTTGCATCTGATCGGAAAAATAGACTCAAAATGACTTTTATTGACCGAACCTCGAGCGATCGCAGCGCCTCACTTATGGTGTCCATATTTCTGGATACATTTTCTATGGTGATCATTCTCCTGTTCTCTAACCTTCATGAGTCTGACTAATAGGTCCAATATACTGTTAAACTACATTAAAGTTAGCTGTCGACTGACTAATTTTTTATTTTATTTAAAAATTATATTAATTCAAAAAAAATATTAAAAAAAATTAAAGTAAATTAGCCGACATCTAAAAATTTTATGAATTTTTTTAATTGAAAAAATAATTTTAAAAAATAAAAAAATTCATTTGTAAAAAATTTAAAAAACTATAAGTGGTATTTTTAATAAATATTTTTTAGTTCTAATCAATAAATGAAAAAAAAATTAAAAATGTCGGCTAACTTTAGTATTATTTATTACGTATGTCAATTTTTTTTTCTTATTTTTGTTGCCATAATTTATTTGTTAACAAAAGTTCTAAAAATTATAAAATATCTGCTCAAGTAATTTTCATGGCCTTAACAGCGCATTCGGTCTCACTCACTCATGCGCGTAGATAATGCTCTCGCGCTCTCACTCACAGAGATATTAAAATTTAATTTCGGGGATGATTGGCCCCTTGGATCGGTCTGTCTTCTTACCAAAGGTTTTAAAATAGTTGTCGGGTGAACATATATAAAAATGGAGCATCAGAATTTACGTGAAGTTAACTAATTATTTTGAGAGCTTTAAAGCGTCTGCAAAGCAATATGGCCGACGGAAAGTGTCTGGGAGTATTGACAACTTATTTTTAACTATACATTCTAAAACATCTATATGTTTTAGAATGTATAGTTAAAAATAAGTTACCTATGTATGAAAATCAGTCATGAGAATTTACGTGAAGTAAGTAATGTTTTTATGTACCTTGATCGCCTGATACCTGAAAATTGGCCGTTTGACCAAGCTAGCAGGTAGGCATACGATCGTAGCACATAATAACACTACTCAATCGTTAACATTTCATCCGTCAGAAAATACGTGACGTCTAGCGGATCTGGGATCTTGGACTATTACAAAACATAAGCACTGTTGCCACTATATTATTATCATATTTATATCTAATTCTGTTTCAATAAACTATATATATATATACGGGTAAATATTTGTTTAGTACCGTTTAAATATAAGCATAGTTTTATCTTTTGAACGAAGGTCCAATCATCATGTAATGAAAGATCTTTCTTTCATTTTTTTGTTTAAGTCATGTCGATTTATAAATAAAGTATATAAATAAACGTTATGATACCACAGTTTAATTGTCTAATGATGTCCTCCAAACCGCATTTTGGTCACACGGCCAATGTCAACGGAGAAAAGCCAAAGTTAGCCATAGCTGAGTAAGACAAGATTATAGTGCCAAGCACAGGTGCAATTTCTTTCAAATCTCAAATACTCAATAACGCCGTTTCAGTGTACTATATTTTTCGAATGAATAGGTTGTCTCAACTGGGGAAGCAACAAGCCCAAGGTCTCACAGAATACCAACACATAACAGCAAAATAATGCTGATTGGTTTTATATGGTGTGTGCAGAGAACTCATTTGAGAAAATGTTTGTATTTTAAATGTATGCGTAGGAATATTAATATTTTTTTACAAAAATCGAATAAGTACTTAGTTTGGCATGATTTTTACGATCTTTGAGTGAATTCACTGTAAAACATACTAAATTTCAGCTTATAAAACTTTGTAACGGCCACTTGCAAAAACGGTACATAGCAACTGTGACTAAAAGCTTTTATTTTATAAAGAAGTCTGTTTTTATAGAACATTATCCATATTCATATAAATTTCTACAAAACTAAAAAGGAATAGACCACAATAAAGTATTTTAGTGTAAAAAACAGACATAATATGATAGGTCATAATATGACAGGTCATCAAACGTCCGCTTGCAACATGCAGTCATAATGTGACAGCTCATCAAGTGAAGGGATAATAAAACTTTGTAACATTGCCAAACGTAATGATAAATTTCGGGGGTATTGTTAGCCACTTTTTTCGGCAGGGTTACCCTATCAATAGAGTTAAGGACGCGTTTACAAAATGGATAGGTATAGAATCGCACTACTACATTGACAAAAGTCACACACACAAGTGTACGCACGGTTGGCTGTGGGAATCGTAGTCAAATGAAATTATTTTGATAATTTGAAAGATTGAATTT